TTGACAACTTGACAAGCAAGACACAAAAGAAAACATGCCCCCAACTAACCTAGGCAACCCAAAGACACATCCCCCTTACAAGGACATCACAAAAGACAAGACTAGGTACATCCTGTCTAGTTGTCAGAGGAGGGGGAATTTCCCCTTTGCCCCTTATTACATAAGTATTCTTAATTGGAGGTCTCACAAAATGTTATCATAGACATTAAAAGAGGGAGGCATTATGTCCCCAAGGGACAACCTAGTTGGCAAGAGTTTGGGATCTCTTGGTCATACTGATTTTGAGATTTCAGGTTCGAACCTTCTGGTGAGCTTAATACCAAAAACCCTTGATGTCTCTAGGGTCTAGGTCTTGGGTCGGGCGCAGGTGCCCTGGGTATAGTGGGGCAAAGTTTCAATTCCCAGTTATCAAAAAGAGGGAGGCATTATTGAAGGGGGCTAAACTTAACACTCACCCAAGAACCCTCGACATTCACAAAGTAGCAAAGAAAGTGGCTTACCACAAAACTCAAATTTACTAAATGTTATACTTCTCTTAATTTCTTGAAGCCAATTTTCTGAGTTCTTGAAATTCTTTACTGTGAAGTACTCTCATAAGTTCAGCTGTTAAACTTCATTCTAACTCTGCAGGTGATTATTGAAGTTCCCTACATATTTGTACAAGCAGCTGCCTTTGTAATTATCACATACCCAATGATTGGATACTACGGATCATCATCCAAAGTATTTTGGTGTTTCTACTCCATGTTCTGTGCACTTCTCTACTTCAATTATCTTGGGATGCTCCTTATCTCCGTCACACCAAACTTTCATATTGCTTCCATTTTGGCCTCTGCCTTCTACAGTACCTTCAATCTCTTCGCGGGCTTTCTCGTTCCGAAACCGGTAAGCCATTTCTGATTGACTTTAGAACCTCCTCTTTGATGTTTGTTTTTTTTTTTAGTAAATTAAGCTCTATTTGATAATCATTTTGTTTTTATCTTTCTGTTATAGAAAAATTAATCTTATAAACACTACTTCTACCTCTATATATGTTACTTTATTTTGTTATATACTTTTTTTAAATGTTATTTTGAATTGAAAAAATTTAAAAGCATACTAATTGCGAGGAAACAACATAATTCTTAAAAATAGAACATTGAAAACAAAATCATTCTCAAATAGAGGMTTAGTTTTTTTCTCACTCTCTGTTTGACTTTGTGACTAAATTCAATACCAACTTTGAGTGAAACTATCAAAATTTCCTCCKTTTGTGCAGCGAATTCCAAGATGGTGGATATGGTTTTATTATATGAGCCCAACATCATGGACTTTGAATTGCTTGCTAACTTCACAATATGGAGACATAAACAAGACATTGATGGTGTTTGGAGAAAGAAGAACAGTTTCTGGTTTCTTGAGAGATTACTTTGGGTTTCACCACAATCAACTTCCTCTTGTGAGACTCATTCTCTTCCTTTTTCCTCTTCTATTTGCTTCTCTTTTTGGACTTTTTATAGGAAGATTGAACTTCCAGAGAAGGTAAAACTGACCAATTTCCTTGCACATTCCTGGGTAGAAAAAGGAAATCATTTATGTTTGGAAACAAAAGGCTAAAAATATAATATAATTTGGTTCGCTATGTTTAGAACAGGTTCCAATTTTGTCTTTACTCTTTTGAAAAGTTTTTCTTTCTGTCTCAATATGTTTTGAGGGTTTTGAAATTCTTTCTTGATTTTCCATCTTCAGTTGATTTTGGATAAGGAGTTTTAAAGATGGAAAAAGTCCAAAAAATAATTTAGTTGTCTTAAATTTAAAGTTTAGTTATTTAAAATCTAGAAAAAGAAAAAGGGGAAATTGCACCAATCACTTATGAACTGTAGTCGAGGAAAATGTTGATGAAAARTATGGATAAATTTCTAGAAAAACTTGAAAAAATAACAAATTCATAATAAATATTTAAATTAATAAATAAACATTTCACTCTTTTTTTTAGTAAAAAATGATTAGTGTTAATAATATGTTCGTATTAGTGATATTTTTTATGTTTTGCTGATGTTTTTGTGATCCTATAGAAATTTTGATTCAGACTTTTACATATGAAAATGTAAAATTTCCTTGACTATAGTAGTTGTTGTAAATCTATTGTATCCATAAATTTTGTATTGCAAAAATTTATACATGCAAAATTCTTAACTGAGCTATAGGTAGCGTCAAAATTTTACCATTATAAAAACTTGAGGGTTGAATTTTTATAGATGAAAAATGGACCAATATAATTGTAATAAACATCATAGTTTAGAAGCGATAATATAGCTTTTGTTTAAAATTTTTAGATGATTAAGGTATATCATTAAGTTGAGTTGTCGTGGAGATCGTCTTTTTTTAATACAACAAAAAAGGTGAGTGTGAGTATGTGAGTCTTTGACTTTTAGGAAAGAAGTAAAGTTTTGTTTTTATGTGATCATCTACTCGTCATGGCTGATGCCAATTATTTAGATTTACAATCTAAGTGTTTGTGGAAAACGAGGGTCGAGTTAAAGGAGTCTATAACCCTGTGAGTTCTCAAAGCCTTCACCAACATGATGGTGAGTAATATGCATTCGTGGAGTTGGAGTTTTTATTTTTCGTGCATGGACACAAATACAATAATATTCTAATTTTAATCAACTTTGTTAAAGCTGAGCATTTTTTGAAGAATGGCTAATTTAGAGAGTATTAACTTGCAGTGTTTGGTTTTAAAGAAAACATATTAAAAGTATCATTCTTTAATAATAAGTTATATATATATATATATATATATACATACATACATATATATGTACTTAGAAAAAAAAGTTGAATATATATATTTTAGTTCCTAATGTTTAGAGGTGTTTTCAATTTTGTCTTTAATCCTTTAAAAATTTCAATTTTATCTCTAATGTCTTGGTCCCTCGGGGGATGACGTAATGTGGGCCTTGTGATGTCGTCTACAAAGACAACGGATCTCAATTATAGAGATTCATTGTATAAGCCACACGACATCGTTTTCAAGAAATTAAAAAAAAAAAATCTCTTATGTCTTGAATTTTAGTATATTTTTTAGAAAAAATAACTTTATTCTTTTTTCTATGCATGAAGTATTTTGTTATATATATATACACACATATATGTAATCAAACTCGTGAAATATATAGAAATATCGACATAATATTAATATTAATAATTTTTAACTTATTTAAAAATATTAAAATACTTATTTATTAATTTAAATATTTGTTCCGATATTTTTTTTTAATTTTGTAACCTTTCCAAAAATTTTCATCAATATCAATACTTTCATCGACGTTTCCATATAATTCATATCTTGACATTTCCATTCACATTGACATTTAGAACCTTATCGACATGTCAACAAATATTTAATATATTTGCAACCGTAAGTAATTAGTTAAATTATAAATTTAGCCTCTAACCTTTTGATGATTATGTCTATTTAATCCATGAACTTCAAAATATTTCAATTATGTCGTCTTTGAACTTACGTTCATGTCATTAATTAACATCATTACTTAAATGTTGACCTAATGATCCTCGCCCGACTCTTCTCTCTCTCCTCTTTCTCTCTCTAAAAAATTGAGCAAAATACATGTGTGAAAATTTGTTAGAGGTGTATCTACGCACCATGCTTCATGCTAAAGCCATCAACTTCCATAAGCTTTTATCCATGGCTATCTCACATCCCATGCCACTTCTTCTTCTYAAAATAATTCCTTTATTATAGTATTAATTAAAAAAATTATAATATTTCTTAATAAAACTAAACTTGTATACTAATTTTTTTTTCTTTTTCTAATATAATTTTGAAAATGTTTATTAACTCTASAAAATATWACAACAAAAARAAYACTATAATTAAGTTAACTTCAATTTTTGTAAAATGAAAAAAAAATAAATCTACATTTGATGATCACCTTGTTTGGAAAACTGTTATCAAACCAATCATGTATTTTTATTATTTTAAAAATACTTTTAGAACTATATGATTTGATGACGTGTAATTTCAAAAGGAGAACAACTTCATTTATTTTAAGAAAACAAGTAATTTATATAAGAATATAATAAATAAATAAATAAATAAAGAAAAAGATATGACATTTATAAAAAGAAAAGTTATTAAATTATACATTTGGCAAACATTCTATTAATTCCTGATTCCACTTAAAACCAATTTCGGTACAAAATAACATGTTCCACAAAAAATAATTAAAAAAAGAAATGTTGTTGTCTTGTTTTTTGAGTTTGTGTATGGTCCATACCATTTAACTAAATCTTATTTTTCTCTTAAAAGATAATTACACTACAAAATAATGCGTCCATACATAATTTACTAAGCATCAACGATTAGAAATAGGGATTAGTACATAGGTAGTCTATTTAAGAATCATAATCGTGTAAAACAAGTGTAAAATTTACACTTAAACAATTCCTAATTAGATGATACCCATAACACAAATTACTAATATATCCATATGATCCATCTCAATATTAAATAATTATTAAAATATAGAATTGGTAAATTGGGAGGTCAAATTCCTTAAAATGTGTTAATGATACTTTCCAAAATTAAAAAATCTCAAAACTCAAAAAAANTCCTCCGAACCTCTGTTCCTCTTCTCCGACCATCGTCGTTATCTGCATTCCTCTCCGGCCGGCTCCACTTTTCTTTGTTGCAAGAGCATTTCATTTCGTCRAATCTTATTCTCCGATCGTTTTTGCCTACCTTCGTCTCTGGCCGACGTCTACTTGCTTTCATCTCTAGCCTCCTCTATTTTTCTCAGTCGCCAGAATAGCTCATCTCCAGATTGAAAGATTTGCATTCCATCTGATAACTTTCAATTTCTGATTTCGTTTGAAATATTGTATATGTGAGGATATATAGTATACTGATTAGATTATGATATATCTTATAACTCAACTTGTATAAATCCGGATATATACTGATAGTGATTTACAATTAAGAATCTGGTGGATATATACTGCCTACAATATTRTACTAGTGGATATATACCGATAGTGATTTACATCTTGGGTATAAATTATACTGGTGGATGTATATATCGATAGTAATAAAAGTGCTACCTACTTAATTAAAGGATTATGATAATAATTCATGAAATTAAATCTTTTATATTTCAAAAAAACCAAATACTATAATAAATGTAAATGCAATAAATAAGGGTAAAATCAGAATTAAAATAAAATCCTACATGCAGAAATCTAAAAGTGTAAAATTAGAAAATTTTWGRCATTTATGTAAATAAATTTTTAAAACAGCCCTTCGAAGACATTATATTTATCAAAAAGAAAAAAACAATTAGAAATATTTGAGACACAAATCTGAACATAATTTCAACTGATTAAGACATTATATGTTTTCAGATAAACTTAGATGTTCAAATTCTCACTCCCGAGTTAACTAAAAAAAATTTCAGTCTATGAACTTTGAAAAACAATTTTAATTTTTCTATTATTTTACCACCTAAAATTCATCCACCCACTCAATACCTATCTCGATAAATTATGTAGTTTCCTAATGTACATGTCCACACAAGCACTCCAATAGGCATGCATATTCGAAATCAAGTTATTTAATTATATGAAATAATTAATGACAAAAATAATGGAGAATTTTTTTTTTGGTTTGAGGATCAAAATACACATTTTATAAGTTTAAGAACCAATATAAAATAATTAAAAAAATTAAGGGACTAAAATGAAATTTAACCATCCTCAAAGGAGATGAGAGAATTCAATTTGGAAAGTCATATCTTTGGCTTGGTCCAAAAGTTACCCAAAGACTCTTAATTTGAGTGGCATGATGCACGTTGATGATCGAGTGAACATAATATGTCACAATCTCAAATAGAAATATCCAAAAATGTTTTTGAAAATTTTTAATTAAATTAATAGATASGTATTAAATACAAATCTTTATTAATAGTACTTATGTTCACATTAGTATTATTTCTTTTTTTTGGTAATTACATGTTTTATTGATACTTTTCGATATGTCGAGAACATCAACTCGATAACTCGAACTTTTCAAAGACTAGTAGGTATGTGTGGTTTACTTTCTCTACATATTTATTTATTTAGAATATTGTATTACAATTTTAGAATATCAAAAAGGTGGAGATTCAATCAACAATTTATAAACGAGATTTTATTGATTTTTTTTTGTTTTTATAATATTTTAATTAATTAATTAATTTTTTTTGTTTTGAAGATTTTAGATAACATGCAATTGCTTGCTTACATGTTTCGATATATATATATATATATATATATTTTGTTTTTTTTAGTTTTATTTTTCTAGTTATAATATTCAAAATACTAATGGAAATATAATATTACATTCTTATATTTTGAAAAAAAAATACTAAATATTTTTAACGATACTAACGGAGTGCTTAACATGGCAGATTAAAGAGGTTGGTGGCATGATGTCTATGTTAAATTAATCAAAATTTATCTTATATACATATATTCATATCAATATTTTTTTTAACCGTGTGTACCATATATGGACTAAAAATCCAAGTATATTTCAAATTTTAAGATCAATGTGTAACTAAATTTATTTACRCATAGTTTCGAGTAACATAGAAGGAACTTTTTTTCATTTATTTTAAAATTTAGTAACGTTACTCTGCTTATTTTTTTTTTCTTTTGAGTACAACATTGTAGGGGTGGAGGTTCGAACTTATGACATTGTGGTCAGAGATAGGCGCCTTAATCATTTGAGCTATGCTAAAGTTTATAATTTTATTAACCAACAAGGTTTCAAGACGGTGCATGCCAGTGTCACAATCGCACATTTTCAAAGCAGCTCGAGCGATTGTGCGGCACTTGCTCTAGCTCAAACGAGCAAGTCAACCGGGAAAAACTGTAAGTTGCGGGCAATTTCGGTCGTGGGTCTAGCCTCCGCTCACGTTTTAGGAGAAAATTGTGTTAGAAAACGTGAGAGAAAAAAACAGTCGAAAACATCTTTAAAACAAGCATTGTAGACATTGGATGCAAGAAAGCTTTGATTGCAAGAAAGTATACAACACTTGGTCGGGGGGAGGTTTGATGACTACTTGGTCCCCCCTAAGGTACATTATAAGGCATTTTTGGTGTGGCAGGTGTAGACGTCCTAAGTGATGAGGAGTCACTCGGTGGCCTACAGGGCCCGTGTGAACTCCGATTGGTTTGAAATTTAGTGTGCTTACATATCTTACTAATACACACCTAGTTCCAAAGCCGCTCGGCCAAATTCCACCTACAACCCCAAAACCCGATATAAGAAAATTACACTAGATAGTTTTAAAGACATGAAAGAAAAGCGAGGGGTGAGGATGGTTTGGACATGCGGCCATGGGTAACACACCCTGGACAAGCATGCCCACAACACCAAGCATACAAAATAAAAAATATATATATATATAACTATGCTTATTTGACAGCACACATATATTGATTACTTTGTATATAAAAATAATGAGATCTGATACTCTTGTTACATATAATGATTTTTATTGATTCAATATAAATTGTTTATTTAATCAACAAAATCCAATTCAAACTTGATCTTTAGAACCCTTACAAGCATGAAACTTTTTGGATGATCCTTGTCCCTTCATTATTTTATTTGATTTTCTCTTTCCTTAAAAGTGAAACTTAAGTATTATTTTACGTAGGAATCAAAATGGTGCATTTATTGAAAGTATATATTAAAAATGTTAAAGCTTAAATTACCATTGATGATGTAATTTATATAGTTTTAGTTTTGCATCTATACTTTTAGAAGTGTTTTGTTATCCATCATTCTCATATTTTGATTATCTACTAATGAGAGCATGGGCCATGTGTATTTTTTGGGCTATCTTGGTTTTTTTATCTCCTTTATTTTAGAGTTTTTTTTCCATTAGATCAAAGGATAGAGACGATGGTAATGAAGATTTTAAAAGTGTAGAGACTAAAATGTGGCAAAATACTAGGACTAAAAATATAATTTAACCAATATAAATATAACATATAAAAGTGTCAACTTGAGTCTAACTTAACTGGTTAAGACACTTGTCTCTGAAAAAAAAGTTGTGAGTTTGAATTCTCACTCTTACTGTGTCATATAACTTTAACCTCTTTAGTCTACAAATGATTCTACAAGTATTATAATAGAAGTTTTTTTTTTTTCTTTTAAATTAAGTATAACATTATAAGCATATATAGAGGTGAAGACTCAAGTTTTTGACCTACGAGAAATTACTAATACTATTATAACCAATTAAGTTGTATATAGTATAACATTACAAATATATGTCTCGGTTGTTAATATTTGAGTGTTTTTTCAATTTTGTTTAAAAATTTTCAATTTAATATCCATTTCAATTTTTTCTTTTTTTTTTGGTGTGACTATTAAAAAAGGTTACATGATGTGGTATGAGTAGGTTAGCATAAATTTAGATTTAGATTTAGATTAGAAAATAGGTTTTGTTGTACTTGGAACAAAAATGAAGAATTGGTTAATCTAAGAGAGAAGGTTTCTATGTTTGCTCATTTTTCTTCTCTCATGTATCTTAATTTCTACTCCAAATTATTCTGCAAAACTTTCTAAGTATCATACCATATATATGTATATATCCTCACAGTCAAATTTTAGTATTCACTGACAAAAAGAATATAATTGAAAAATGTTAGAAATTTTAAGGGGTCAAATTGGACCTTTTTAAAATAAAGATTAAATTGAAAAATACTCGAACATTAATTAACGATGGAAAAATATATATATTTAGCCTCAAATCTACCTCCCTTTTTTATTTAACAACTCATATGTCAACTTGAAAGCATTATCCAATTCAACTTCTACTAAACCCCAAGTTTCAAATCTCCACGTCACTTATTTTTAGGTTAAAATAAGAAAGAAAAAGACGGCCTCCATGTTGAGTATATTATATATATATATTATATATGATCTTGTAATTGAATAAGTGAAAATCTCTTCTCTCTCTCTTAAGAATCGTTGCATATTTTTTATTGAATGATACAAATTTATCTCTCTCTTAGCAAACATCATCTCTCTATTATTTAAACAAAGTATTTCAAAAGATAACAATATCTGAGTTCAGTGTCTCTCTCTCTCATCTGAGCTTGAGCTGTTGATGAGTTATCCAAAAATGGCGCCAACCACAGAGGAGAGAGAGCCGGCAAGAACAATTGAGGTGGTGGAAATGGGAAGAAGAAGAAGCTTTAGTTCATCATTTCGACAACAAACTTCTTTGAGTTTCAGAAGCAGCTCGTCAGTGGCGGCCGAGGAGGACGGTGACGCTGAAGAAGCTTCGGTTTGGGCAGCGATTGAGAGATTGCCGACGTTTGAACGGTTGAGATCGTCGCTGTTCGACAGTGGAGTAGAGGAGAAGGAGAAAGGAAGAAGAGTTGTGGATGTCGCTAAGCTGCGCGATGTGGAGCGTCGTCTATTTATTCAAAAACTTATTAAACACATTGAAAATGATAATCTCAGACTCTTGACAAAAGTTAGAGAGAGAATCCACAAGTAAGTAAGCGTATTTTCTATGGATCCATAGAATCTTCGATTTTCTTTCTTCTTTTGCCATTTTTAGTTATGAATTTTTAAATGTTGAAATTTAATTCATATACTTTTGATAAATTTTAAAAATAGTTAGAAACTAAAGAAACCTATTCACACGTTATGTTATTTTAAGTACAAAGTTTTATTTTTCCTTTTTTAGGAGGTAAGAAACTAAACAGATAATTCAAATTTAACAAACCAGTTCTTCGATTCAAAATATTTATTTGAGATTAAAAATCAATAATCCAATAAAAAATCATTAATAATCGACCAGAAACCAAACTAGTTTAGTTCGGGAAAAATTAAACTAAATCAATTTTCCCATTTTTCTCCTAAACCAACCCGATTACATCCCACACTTTTTTGCCAAGCTAAATATAAAAATTATAAACTTAAACTCATCGTAGAAACTATTTTTAATATTTATTTAAGTTGCAGAGATTAATTATGAAAAGTTTCATTTGACCTCTCTAACTTTGGAAGTGTTAAAAAAAATATTGAGATTTTTTTATTAAAATAATAGATGAGAATCGAATTATAAATGAAGGTGGAAAATTTTGAAACGCGTGCATTGCAATAAAAAATAAAAAATAAAAACAAATGCCAATTGTGGCATATGCATGCACTAGTTATGTTTTCCATTTTTTTAACAAAAAAAAATATTTACTATTATAAATATTTGACAATTAAAAATAAAAAATAAAAAATAAAACTAAAAATAATAAACATCTAATGATGATGAGATTTAAGACAAGTCTGCACCAATCAAAACTTGAGATAAATCGTATAAAAAAAACTTGAGATAAGTGTTGACCAATCAAAACTTAAGTACTTTTAAATATGATTCAAATAATAAACCAAATCGAAGTTTTTTAATTTTTTTTAATATGGAATCTTTAACACTTGTCGTTATACTTCAAAATTAAATAAATATAATATTTAAAATATGGATACAGAGGAATGTTTAATTACTAACGAAGGGTAACGGTTGTAGAGTTGGTGTAAAGTTTCCAACTGTGGAAGTGAAGTACAAAAATGTGCATATTGAAGCAGACTGCGAGGTTGTTCGTGGAAAAGCTCTTCCAACTCTTTGGAATTCTCTTCAAACCACCCTTTTGGTAAGATTTTCAAGATATTTATTTTAGTTTCTAAATTTTAAAAATAACTATTTTAGTTATTACGATTATTTCGCAACCTAAAATTCATCCGTCTAATACTCACTTCGGTAAACCAATATGTGACTTTATAATACATGACATGTTCGATCATTATGAAGATACGTGAATTCGTTGTCCATCAACAACGAATTTCAGTATTAAAAGTCGACCAAAACAACCCGCTTTGATAGATCAAATATTAACATAATATTATATATGGTTGCTCATGAATTTCAAATTTTTGCAATTTGTTTATGTTATTTTGTTAGGACATCATCAAATTTTGTGGTTCAAAGTCCCAAGAGGCTAAAATTGACATAATTGAGGATGTCAGTGGTTTCATCAAGCCAGGAAGGTAGCCTTTCTTTGATTCCTTTCACTTCTTATTTTATTTTCTGGCTACTTAATTACATTTTTTTTTCTTTTTTTAATTTTGAGAATTTTGTCAATCTAGCTAGTCCCTTAACTGCATACTAAAATTTGATATTATGCTGTCAAGGATAATACATAAATAAAACTATACAGAATCAAAATTTAAATTTCAACGGTCTTAATTAAATTTTTAAAAAATTTAAAGAACTAATTAGAAATAATCATCAAAGTTGGAGATTAGTTTATAATTTAACTTTATTTTGAATAGTATAGTTTGCTTAAATGGCACAACTTATTTCTCATTTATTGTCACTACTTCCAAGAATAAACTTAGCTAAATAAGTCCAATTTTATCCTAAGATTTTAATTTTACGAAACTAATATGAATTTAAATAAGTCAAAATTTTTTTTTAAGTATAACATGTGGAATAGAACATCGAACTCACAACTTCTTAGTTGAAAATATATGTCAATTATTGTTGAACTACGCTTGTTTTGGCATTAAATAAATCAAATTAATATCTTCTCTTGGTTGGTATTTTTATTCTAGCCTTGATTTTTGTAGTTAGTTTGAGAATTTCAATGTGGATTTAAGTGTTTTTATGATCTTGATTTTATGGCTATACTCAAGTATTTGTATGATTGTGTTTCGACATTTATTTAAGTTTACCACTCAATTTGATAAATTAAAAGTTGGTTAAGTCTGGCTTGATATTTTTCTGTCTTTTATTTTTTTGTGTTTAGTAATTATTTCTTGTTCGTTTTTCTTTATTTTTTTTTATTGAAAAAGAAACATATGATAACATTTCTTGTTTTTTCCTCTAAAATTTTAAATTAAAAAAATTTATATGAAAATTAGTTTTGTTTGAAATCAATTCATATCTATTTTTGATAGTTACTATAGATTTCATAAGTTAAAAAAGATAAAATAATATTTTTATCTCCAAAACTAGAAACATGAACACCAGAAACAAGAAATTAATTGATTTTATTGTTTCTAAAATTTTGACATAATTTTAGAAATATTTCTTAAAAATAAGAAACGAGAAAGAGGAGTAGTTACCTAACGATTATGTTTTTCAAAAACAAAAAATAAAAAACGAGAATCGAAAACATTACCAAAGAGTGCTCGGAGAACATTAGAGTTAAAATGAAATTTCTCTCAAATTTGAAAAAGTGCTTTTGAGAAAAAGCAGATTGTTTCAGGTTAACTCTGCTGCTTGGGCCCCCAGGATGTGGGAAGACCACACTACTAAAAGCCCTCTCTGGAAATCTCAACAAATCTCTCAAGGTTATTATTGTCTTTTACCTTCTTTATTTTTCTCTTTTTTTTTTGGTTTAATTGTGCTTTTTTTCCCTCTTTTTGTACTAATATTCTTTTATCAAAAAGATCACCGGAGAAATTTGTTACAATGGACGCAAACTTGAAGAATTTGTTYCCCAAAAAATTTCTGCATACATTAGTCAGAATGATCTACACATCCCCGAGATGACTGTGAGGGAAACTCTAGATTTTTCGGCTCGATGTCAGGGTATTGGAAGTCGAGCAGGTAAACTTTTCGAATTTGGTTCTCGTTATTAATTGTTGTTTTAAAATGAATACATGTTTGATAATTATTTCTTACCTTTACGAACTCAGTCTTTATTATAAATGTGTTTTAGTAACTATTTCTTCGTTTCTTATTCTTTAAAATTTGTAAATAAATAAAAAAATTGAATTTTTTTCTCGAGTAAAATATATATAATTTTTCAAAGATAAAATATTCAAAAGAGTATATTATGTCTTCTTTTTTTTTTTAGTTTTTAATATTTATTATGCAGTTATGGGTTAAAAATGATACTTAATCACTTTCAGAAATATTTTAGGGAAAAAAAATGAGAAAGTAAGAAGCAAAAAACTTCAGGATCATTTCTGGAAAATTATGAGAAATAGAGATGTGTATCAAACAAACATGTTTCAAAACCTATAAACTAAAAATATAAAATAAGAATGTTACTAATTTGGTCCCCTGGACTTTCGACTTTAGTTCATTTTAGTTTTTGTACTTTCAAAACGTTCACTTTAATTTCGATACATTCAAATCTGTTCATTCTAGTATTTGAACTTTCATAACATCCGTTTTGGTACCTATACTTTAAAAAAATGACCAATTTTGTTTCTATTTATAAAATTTTAACACAAAATTTAAATATAATAATGGAAACCCTTCCCTACAAACTTTATGGGTATATTTTAAGAAATTTAGTGAGTGAAATGTCATGCTAAAATTATATGATTCAAAAGGCTGAGATAAAAATGAGAATGAAGAGACCAAAATGATCCATTTTCAATATTACAAAGATCGAAATGAACCAAAATGAACAAAAATTGAAAGTACAAAAACCAAAATGAATAAAAGTTGAAAATACAGAGACAAAAATAGTATTTAAACCAAACGTGTGAAACGAKAACGYTATGAAACAATTGAGCGGTGAACATCAATAAAATTTCGTGTGACTATGAAGATTAAAATAAACGATCACCTTTTAAAAGTATAAGGATCAAAATAAACGTTTCGAAAGTACAAGGATTAAAATAAACAAAAAATCGAAAGTAGAAAGACCAAAACGAATCAAAGTCGAAAAATACAGAGATGACTGAAATAGTATTTAAAYCGAATGAGAACCAAGTATATGCTACTRAACAATTGAGCAGTGAACTTCAATAATATTTTGTTTGACCATGAAGATATGATGAAGGAGGTTAGTAAAAGGGAGAAGGAAGAAGGGATTATTCCAGATCATGATGTTGATACCTACATGAAGGCTATTTCTGTCCAAGGATTAATACAAACTCTTCAAACTGACTACATTCTCAAGGTTGCTTTTCTTTTTCTCTTTAGCTTGACAAAAATTTCATTTTCATCATTTGATTTCAATATATATATATATATATATATATATATATAAATTTCACCACTTATTAAAATGTAGATCCTTGGGCTTGATATTTGTGCTGACACTCTAATTGGAGATGCCATGAGAAGGGGTATTTCAGGTGGTCAAAAGAAGAGATTAACCACAGGTAAAAATATTCATATAAATATTTGCATATTTTCAAGTATTTTCTCTCTTTTCCCAACAATAATAATAATAATAATAATAAGTAATACGCTTTAGTGCTGATGGTTGAGCATTTATCTTACGGGTGGTCAGTAGGAACATAGATGTTTATCGGTCAGTAGCTAAGTATTGTTATAAAAAAAAATTGAAGGAAAGTTGATTGAATATTAAGAGAAATATAATGTGTGTGCAGGAGAAATGATTGTTGGTCCAAATAGAGCCTTGTTCATGGATGAAATTACAAATGGATTGGACAGCTCCACTGCTTTCCAAATTGTTTCTTGTCTACAACATCTAGCTCATCTTACAGATGCTACATTACTTGTTTCTCTTCTCCAGCCAGCTCCTGAGACCTTCGATCTCTTCGATGATATTATCTTGATGGCGAAAAAGAAGATCATATATCACGGCCCTCGCGATCAAGTTCTTCAATTCTTCGAGGATCGTGGGTTCAAGTGTCCTGAGAGGAAAGGCGTCGCAGATTTTCTTCAAGAGGTCATTTCGAAAAAAGATCAACCACAATTTTGGTACCGTAACGAAATTCCATCTGCATATGTCTCTGTCGACACATTTTGTAGAAATTTCAAGTCATCGAGTTTAGGAAGGAAGCTCGACGAGGAGGTCTCAAAACCTTTCAATACATCCAAAAGCCCTTGCAATTGTGTTTCTTTTGGTGTAGCAAGTGTCTCTAAATGGCAAGTGTTTAAAGCTTGCACGTCGAGGGAACTCCTCCTCATGAAAAGAAATTCATTTATCTATGTGTTCAAAACTACTCAGGTTAGTGCTTCCAAAACTAATAAGAAAACCAAAAATATGTAAATAGTATTTTTCACTGTTTTGAAAAATCATCTCAAAACTCACTCTAAAATCTCAACGTTTATCCTCTTTTCTTTGAGCATGCAGCTTTTCATTCTTGGTTCGATTACAATGACGGTATTTCTTCGAACTCGAATGGAAGTCGATCTTCAGCACGCTAACTACTACATGGGAGCCCTATTTTTTGCATTGATTTTACTACTTGTGGATGGAGTTCCAGAGTTGGCAATGACCATCCAAAGGCTGGAAGTATTCTATAAACAGAAAGAATTCAACTTCTATCCGGCATGGGCTTATGCAATTCCAGCTGCCATTTTAAAGATCCCTCTTTCACTAATTGAAGCATTAGTGTGGACATGTCTTACTTATTATGTCATTGGTTTCAGCCCTCAGGCTAACAGGTCAGTTTCACATAACAAAATCTTTACTTTCTTTTGTTCTTTCACTTCTTGAAATTTATAATAACTAATAACCTGTTTGGTAAATAAAGTTTCTCAATCTAGCGGCGATTTCGTTATACAATATAACTTAGGTAAAGGCAAAAGCTAGGTCCTCTAAACTTAAAATATATCACTAAGATTATGTATATTGGAATGGTTTGAATCAAAATGAGGAGCGAGGAATAAATTTACATGTAGTCCACCTAATGAATGCTGGAAGATTAGGACTTGTTTGGAGAAGTTATTGTTTTTTTGTTCTCGTTTCTCTCTTTTTGAATAAATAAATACTGATTGCATTAGGTAGTTGGTAYTTTTTTTCTTTCTTAARAGAGAAACAGAAATAMGTTGGGTAATCATTTCTTGTCTCTTGTTCTCTAAAATTTTAAATTAAAAAAAAAGTAATTTTTAAAATAAATTATTTAATTTTTTTATGTTTATTTATTTCACATTTTATTAAAAAAATGATTAAATAATACTTTTATTTATGTTTTGGAAAAAACTAGAAATAGAAATAAGAAATTTAATTTTGTTGACTTAAAAATGAGAAACAAGAATATCTAGTTACTAAACACTGAAAACAAAAAATGAGAAATTTAAATTAAAAAAAAAAGAAACAAAAAACATTATGAAATAGCTAAGTCCTTGAGTGAAAAAATAKCTCAACTAAACACATAACATAAAAGTGAGTTATCATCTAACAAATTGAGAACTATAGATTATATTGTATTTAGCGTATTGAAAACCATAGCTGCTGCATTCAATTTATACATCTCCCCTTAAATTTTGTTGAAAGTAAATGAATTTCCACATAATTATAACCTATATATATTCAACAAAACTCTATGGGTCCTTTTTTTCCTCTCTTTTCTCTTTTAGAATATAGCATTACAATTTTTGGTAGTATGAATTTGAACCCTTTGACCTACAAAGTAAATTAAAGTCTTAATCGGTAAGTTATGCTTAGGTTGGTTTAAATAATTTTCGATTATAGAGTTCCACTAGCGTAAGCCACATAGCATCAATTTCGAAAAAAAAATTGGCTTAAAGAATCCCCTCAAACATATATCACATTAATTGACTCATTAATAAATAATCGAATAATGTAATTATATTAGTAAGTTTGCCTCATAATAGCGAATCTGATCCTAATTCAACCAAAAGGTGAGAGGTTCRAATCCCAAACCCACATATTGTTGAAGTAAAAAAAAAAGATAATGTAGAGTCTACACTTGAATTTTGGGGTTTCCGGGGTTTGCTGTAGTGTTAATTAATTTTGGCACTTTGCTTTTTAGGTTCTTTCAACAGTTTATGCTTCTATTCGCGGTGCATCTATCATCATTATCGATGTTTCGATTGATAGCTTCAATATTCCAGACCAATGTTGCTTCCATGACAGTAGGCAGTTTTGCAATATTACTAGTCTTGTTATTTGGTGGCTTCATCATCACACATCGTAAGTTTGTAAATCACTTTCTAACTCATTATTGTTGGGTTTGTAAGGAGTGCAAACAAAATTCCTAGGGGAGAGAGTGATCTATGCTATATAAGGAATTACAATTATCATTGTTGGTATGAGGCCTTTTGGGTGAAGCCAAAAGCAAAGCCGCAAGGGCTATGCTCAAAGCGGACAATAATATCGTACAATTGTGGAGATATTTGAGGGTATGAGACTACCGTTGTCCTTAATAAGTGATATCAGAGCTATGGTAAAAAAACCTAGCTGTATGGAAAATAATCCTTSGGGGTCGAACAAGAGTGATTGGTAAGCCTATTAGTCATTACGAAACTTGTGGAAGAATCTCAAAATTGAATAAAAAGTGCTCGAGGTGGTGAGCAAAGACATGCTCTATGCTCGRGTAACGAGCAAGACATCCCTATCAAATTGGGGTACGTTGATAGCTTATCATAGTTTGGTAGGCTGATAGGAAAGACTGAGGTAGCTTTGTTCGAGGGTAGGAGATTAAGGGTGCAATAGAACCTGCTCCAAGCCACAATGTGGTTCGTATAACGAATGCACTATCTGGATGTACTAGATAGAAGCCAGCTCTCGTTCCCTACTGAGACTAAATGAGTGGCATGACTATTCGAGGCAAAGATACAGGTGGCACTTTGTTCGAGGGATGATTGTTAGACTTTGTTTGCACACTTTACCAACCCAACAATCCTCCCTTAAACAAAGTRTCACTTGTATCTTGTCTTGAATAGTTATGCACTCATTTACTCTCGACTGATAACTAGAGTCTGCTTCTATCGAGCACTTCTAGATAGATCACTTGCTACACGAACCAAATTGTGGGAACACAAGGTGTCATTCTATTGCACCTTCAATCTCCTCCCTTCGAACAAAGGTACCTCACTCTTCCTATCAGTTTACCCAACTGTGATAGGCTTCCTACCAATCTACCCGACTTGATAGGACATGTCTTGCTCGTCAACCGAGCACAGAACATGTCTTTGCTCACCACCTTGAGTACTTTTTGTTCGATTTTGAGATCCATCCACAAGTTCTGTAATGACTATTAGGCCACCAATTACTCTTGTTCGGTCTCATCTTCGAGGATTTCTCCCACATAGTTGATTTTTTTTTTGTCATGGCTTTGATACCACTCGTTAAGAACAACGGTACCTCAAGTAACTCAAATATCTTAATAGTCAATAGTATGATATTGTCGGTGCTATTTACAAACCCAACAATTATATATACACACACATACATTTATTAATTTAGGAGTAAATGAAATTACTAAATTCCACCCCCACATGTTGTAAGCTAAAAAAAGATAGGACTTCATATTATAATATCATGTGAAATCACTTCTACACCTTGCATAATAAAGGAAAATTTTAATCTTTTAGAAATTAAAAAAAGAATTTAATAAGGAGAAATTGATTTTTATTTATTGATTTCTTTTTTATTTTCGGAATTTTACAGCCTCCATGCCAGCTTGGTTGGAATGGGTTTTCTGGGTTTCTCCAATTAGTTATGGAGAAATTGGTCTCTCTATCAATGAGTTTCTTGCTCCGAGGTGGCAAAAGGTGAGATTCTCAGTGAAATTTATTATTTCATTTCACTAAATTAAAAAAAAAAACACACACATAAATAATATTAAATAAATATATATTTTTAAAGCAGTAGAAAGTTTAAAGTTTTGAAAAACAACGTAATTCAAATCCAACTCAAATGTAAATATAATATAAACTATAAGTTTAGTGGATGRATTTTAGAGTTGGGTCATATAGGTTTTTAAAATTTAAAAACATAAAATATATCTCTACATTTTTTTATTTTGAATCTCATATTTTCTTAAACTTAAAAATATCTAATAAATCTCTAAATTGTTCTTGTCTTATAAACATTTTTTCTGAAAAAAAAAAAATTTACCATATTGAAAGCTAGAGAATGAGATGCAAATTTTAATCTTAGTGTCTAATAAATTAAAAAAATGTTAAATGAATCGAAGCCTATTAGAGACAAAACTAAAAGTTAAAAATAACTTACTAGACACGAAATTCAAAGTTTAGAGATAGTTGGGTGGTAATTGAAATATATCTCGAACCATGAGTCTGGGATCACCCACCCCAAAAAAAAACTAAAATTTGTAATTTAACATTTATGCTTAGCTCAGTTTAAATTCAGAAGCTTAATATATTACAATCCCTAATATTTTGTATTTTTTTTTCAATTTAGTTTCTACTGCACGCAAAGTTTCAATTTAGCAAAATAYTTTTAAATTTTTTGTTTCTGATGAGATAACACTTAAGCCTAAGAAATTTAGAGGAGAAAAATAGCATAGGAGAAACCTTAAAATTTCTACTCATTTCTTAGAAGTATTTTAGAGCATTGAGTCCAGATTTTCTCATACTATTATACTTATTAGCTCGTTTTAACTTTCAGCAATCATGAGATGAGACTAAATTGAAAAATATAAAAACACTGTAGACTAAATAAAAAAATTTGAATAAAAGAAGCTAAATCCAAATTACATCTGTTTATCTTATAATAGCCATCCATATCAGGAATTAATAAAAATTTTATGTATTTTTCGTTATCAAATATTATAAGATTAGATTGTTGCTAATGAGATCCAGAGGTGCACTTAAGTCGGCCTGAATTCACGGATATCGAAAAGGAAACAAAAAATCCAAATCACATCCGAAAAAACCAAACTAGTAGATGATGATCAAATAAGAAAAGGTTCTAAACATCAATTTGATTGTGATCACATTTCTGTAGATCGAAACTACGAACGGTACTACGATAGGGCATGCAGTTCTTCAAAGTCGAGGACTCGATTATCATCAATACTTCTACTGGATTTCACTCGGAGCATTGTTCGGATTTGCCCTAATTTTCAATGTTGGA